ATAACCTCATGACTTGGGAAACAGGGTGATGGGCTCAGCCAGGTCCATACAGCCAAACACAGAGTGTCCTGGACTCCAGGTTGGCTGTTTCCTTGCTCTGGGGAATCTTCTCCATGCCTCAGTTTCCCCACTGCGACCCCCACTGTTACTGATCCAGTGCCTCTGAGCATATCCAGGGCACCACACTGTCCTCTAGAAGAGGCAGGAAGGTTGAAAAGGCCAGTCCCACCCCTAAGGATGTCCAAGGGTGCTCTGAGGAGAGGCAGGCTCCAGCAGACTCTAAATTCAGGGCAGAGCTGCAGGGATGGTAGGGAAACCCTTCTTCTTTCTCAGGGTGGCCCCAGAAACACAAGGTGACTTTTCTGGCATGCCACCTTACAATGTGGCTTGCATGGTCCCTGGTGGCCAACGTGCCTAAAACCTCAGGAAGGTTGGATAGTGAGAAGTGATTTTCCAGGTGAGTGAGGGGCAGCAGATCTTAGCTGGTGGTGGCAGCTGGGCCAGTCGGGCACAAGACCTGACAGGAGACAGGGAGAGCAGGTCCTGCCTTGCCAGGGCACTAGGAGTGGTCTCTCAGTGTATGCGCAGGCTACCAAAAGCTGACTCCCAGCTGAGCCCGAGGCAGCACAGCACAGTACAGACTTCTTGTCCTCTATAAGCTGTACTCTCTGACCCCATCCTCAGGTCTCTGTCATCCCTGTGCCTCAACTGTCACTAAGACCCAGGAGCTGTGGAAACAAAGAGAGCCAGGTCCAGTTTCTGTGCTGCTGTCCCCTGGGTTGCAGGACATGTGGGTACCCCAACACCCAAGCTATCCCTGTGGTACCTCCTTTACCCTTGGGGACCCTGGAGAGACCTTTGTCCTTGACCATATGGCGGCTAGGTGCAGGGCCTGTGGCCTCCTGACCCCTGGAGAAGGCAGGGCCTTTCTGCCTGGGGGATGGCTTGGCCACAAGCCCAGCCCACAATGAGGGCCATGTGCAGACTGCATGGTACCACCCAAACTCACTGTAGTACCACGCTGGGTTCAGAGGACAGGCCACAACTCCAGGCAGCTTCCCCCAGGACAGACCCACCCTCAAGGTGAAGAGACTGCTGTCAGCTGGTCACCTCCCAGAAAAAGCTGAGGCCTTGATCTGAGCAGTCGCAGCCCCTGGCCTAGCCTGCTCATGGTGCCAGACCTTTCCCCATCTGGTCCTCAACCCACAGAATGTCATGGCACTCTGAGAACTTCTGTGAATACAGGTTCACAGCAAGTTTCAAAACACAGGTGAGCTGCGGGGAGGGTCCCTACTCTGGCCCACGTGTGAGGTCGTGAGTGGGAGCGTGCAGGTGCAGGAGCTGTTGCCCTTGCAGCATCCAGACACAGCCCCTCCTGCTGTCCCTTGTAGTCACATCACCCCAAAGGCCCCCCAGACACTAACCGTTCTGGGTGAACCTTCAATGTCCCCCAAAGGCGCATGTGTCCAAGGCTGGGTCTCCAGCAGATGGCATTACGGGGAGAGGTGGAACCTGCAGAAGGGGGTCTAGTGGAAGGCAGTGAGGGAGGTCACTGGGGGCAGGACAGGAAGGACACAGGGACCCTGACCACTCCTCCCTCCCCGGCTTCACAGCTGCCACAAAGAGCTTTGCTCCCCCTCGTGCTGACTGCCGTGATGTTCTGCCTCCCCACAGGCCCAAAGGCAACAGCCAACTGGCCAGACACAACCATGAAACCTGGAGCCAAACTGACCTTCCCTCCTCCAGGGCGACTTTCTGTGATGGAAACCTTTGTACCTTTGTCTTCGCCCATCTGGCAGAGGTTGGGTTTTCACCAAGCTGGCCTTGGATTCCTAGACTCCTGCTGTTCATCTGTGCTCTATTTTGTTGATATTCACTTTTACTTATTTATTTTTGCTTCTTGCCTCCTACTTGCTTTGGGCTCACTGTTACTCTTTTTCTAGCTTCCCAAAGTAGAAGTCTACACGTTGATCTTAGGACCTTTCTATTTTCTGACATAAGCATTTAGATCTGTAAGTTTCCTTTAAGAAACTCTCAAGTCTTGACATTTTCATTAAGTCGGAATTGGTTAGAATTTCTCCCATCATGTTTTCCTCGACTCACGAGCCCTCCCTAAGTGAGCCATGTGATTCCCGTTTCTCTGGTGCCTGTGGACCCAGTACCTGGCTGCCTTGGTGGGCGCACGGTCCCTCAGTCAGCAAGGTCTGGGGTTTCTGTGCAGCTGTTTCTGACACAGGGCACGGAGGATGCCAGACACACAGGACAGCAACTGGTGTCCCACAGCAGACTGACTCTGCAGCCGCAGCTTTCCTCACACCACTCCCCTGCAGCCCCTGTCCAGTGTGTGCTGCCTGCAGGGACGCCTTCAGCTTGAGGGTCCTCAGAAATGGTGTTGCGGGCCACTGGCTCTGAGCGCTTCCTGTCGGCAGGCTCCACCTGCCCCAGCCTGCTGCTCTTGCACTGTGTCTCCCTCCGTACTTATGGCATTTCTCTCTGTACACAGCACGTGGTTAGTTTCGCTTTTTATGCAGCCTGATAATCTGCCTTTGGCTAAAGCATCCACTGCACTTAGGAAAGTGATTTTTCACCCACGACACTGTCCCCATCTTCCCACAGATGAGAATCTGGACTTGCTCAGCTGCTCCACGAAGACAGGCCTTAGAGGTAGAGCAGCGAGTGTGTCTTTCCACTGTAGGCTCTTCATAGGGCCCTTACCGGTACAGGAAGGGTGCATGTGACCCCTGACTCGACCTGTTTTGGCTTCATGGGGGGTGGTACAGGCTTTAGGAACATGGTGTCGCCCTCTGATTTAGAAACACTGGATAAAAATGCAAGACGGTCACAAGCCTAAAGGAGGATGAGGTGTGGAGAGCAGCAGCAGGGTCCACCCACCAGCCTGCCCACTTGGCCTTCCCGTCTGCACTCTACCCCACCTGCATTGAACACAGGTCTCTTCCCTGTCTCTGCACAAGTGGCTACTTCCTTCTCTGGTCTCAGCATCAACCCTACCTCTCTGAGGAGTCTCCTCTAGACTGTCCTGGCAGTGCCTTAACTCTCATTTCCATGTCAGCTTTCCCCTGCAGGGCCATATCTGCCATGTCCCTAAACGCACCTGACACACAGCGGGCACTTGAGACTCCTGTGCTGAGAGCAATCTCCTCTCCTATGAAGCTTCTGATGGAGGAGGGTTGAGGTCAACCCTGAACCATCTAGACGGCCTTCCTGTGCTCCAGGACAGGAGTGGGGTCCTCCAGAGGCCTTGAGGGGGCTGGGCAGCATCTGACAAGCAGGTAGCTCAGCTAGAGAACCTCTGACAGATGCAGCCGAAGAACTCAGGACCCAGTGAGGTCGTTCCACAAACTAGTCCTCACCCGCCCGAGGGCACCATTGCCCTCTTGAGCTGGTTCCTAAACCTGAGCTGGATGAGATCCAGAGACCCTTTATTAGGCAATTACTTTGTCCCATCTATCAGAACCAATATCACAAACTCCCTCTGAGCAGCTTACCATGTGCCAGGTGTCTGCTGGCTGCTTCCTTCCTGTGAATGGCCTCATTTAGCCCCAGAAGCCGCATTTTGCAGTGATTCTCCTTGCTTCACAGAGGGCTTTGACTTCACACATTCTGATTTCTAGAAACTCATTTTTGGCCATTTCTACTTACTCTGTATCTAAGGCTCACAAAAGCCTCATGTTTTATTTAAAGATGTGCAAAAATGCTATTCCAAAGGCTCACAGTATTTAGATTTTCTGTTACAACTGTTAGTCAACTGTTACAACTGTTAGTCAACCTCCCACGTGGGTGTTTGTTTTATTTTAAAAACAGCAGAGGCAAGAAATGTCTAATCTGAACTTGGTATTCTGTACCCAGATCCATGAGAGATGCCACATCAGCACACAGGCCGCGGCACTCCTGTGAATCCAATGCCCTTAACTCAAATTGTGTGAAAGAAAGGACAGGGACATGAACTCCCAATCCACCAAGACGGTGGGTGTCTGCAGGCTCCTGCAGCTCAGCACACTCCTCCAGCCTGGCAGCCCCAGATGGGATGCTGCTGGAGACACTGGCAAAACAGTGACACCTTGTGGGGGATATGAGAAACAGCATTCTCTGGTCCCAGGTCCACCTGGGAATTCTGAATGCTCAGGCATCCAAAGATAACCCGCCACAGGCATGTGATCCAAAAGGCACATGTGACGATATATGGGAAGGAATACACTTTATTGTGGCACTGAGCCTCTCCTCTGAAAAGCAGCACTGACATAAGCCTAGGAGGAGGTGGCACCACAGACACATGGCTTGTTGGGGGCCACCCCCATGGTGCTTCCCTCAATGGGTGGGCATTACACAAGGATGGTGGGGTTACATTCAGTGGGTGCTCAAGGTGAAGAACAGTGCGGTGCATAAGACACCTGGTGCAGAGGACTGCAGACTCTGTTTCAGAAAACCATAGACTCCTTCCTGTAAGAGGCCAGGTGCTCGGCAGCAAGCTCCCTGGAGGGCTCCTGAAACATCCTGAGAAGGGCACAGAGCTGGGGCCGTTGCGAGGACCAAGCCCTGGCCCACAGGCTCTTCTACCCTAACACCAGCAGCAGGGGCCATGGCACGCCAGGGAGCTGCTGGTGGACACCTGGACACCTCCTGAAGCCTGGGCTGGGGGCTCTTCCAGCCTAGCGCCAGCACATGTGTGTGTATCACAAGTCCCCCAGGGACACCTGCTACACAGCAAAACCTCTTTCTGAATGTGATTTTTGCAGACATGAGAGGACATGGAGTATGGACACACTATGGAGCAGCAATGCCTTTGACAAATGGCTCCATTCCCAGCGGCAATGTAACTGCAATCAGAGATGTCACACCATCTGTCACCTGGGTTTTTCTGGGAGGAACACACTCTATGCAAGAACATACAACCATGTGAGCGCCCAGCAGAGAGCCCCGCAGGAGTCTGGAGGCGCATCATGGCTGTGGGCGGCGGCAAGGTGGCTGCAGGGCAGACAAGCTTCCCCAGTGTGCAGACTTTATTGTGCAGGGGAGTGGCTTTCATATTCCACATCAAAGGAGAACTCGAGTGCTGGGGAGCTGCAGAAACCACTGCCAGCTCTCAGAAGGGCAAATCCTTTACAGTAGCAGGGAAGGAACAAGACTCCTTTCCAGTGGAAGCCCGTGCTGCCTCAGTGGACATCAAAGAGGAAAGGGCAGGCCCCAGCCCCCTACCTCCCACCTCCCACAGGAGCCAGCTGAGAGGCCTACGGTGCCTGGAGGCCTCTGGCAGCTGCCGACCCCTCAGGAGCTCAGCTTGGAGTAGCTGGGAGGAGAGAGCTTGCGCTTCAAGTACTTGAGGACGTAGAGTGGAAGGCAGCTGACCACAGTGATGGCCGACACTTTCCACAGGAAGGGCACGGTCGTGATGAAGGCAACATCTGTGGGGAGGAGGCAGAGTGTGAAAGCTGCCAGGACTCCCAGCCCAGGCCACAGCTGCACGCCACCTCCCAGGCCTCCACTTCAGCACTACGCCCTCGCCCAGCAGGCCTGACTCAGCCTTGAAGGGTCTTCATGCATGCTATTTACCTGTGTCTGGCACACACAGTTCTTCTCTCAACAGAAGGAACAGGGGGCCGAGCACTAGGAAGGGGCTGCACATGGCCACCATATATGGCTAGCGGTTCAGGCAGCCTATGGCAGGATTTGCACACTGCCACGTGGCTCTGGGGAAGATGCCAGTTAACTGGCCTCTGCTCTGTCTGGCTACCCTGGCCAGTCTTCTTCTTGAGGCAGAGCCAGCTACATGGGGCCTGGGGCAGCTGGCAGGTCCCTGCGACATGAACGCTCAGATGCGCCAGTCTCAAGTGCTTCTCAGCCCCCCAGGCCCAGGCATCCTCACTCTCACAGTCACCTCGAACAAGCCTATTCACCACCCCAATGAGACTGCATGGGTAAAGATGTCTGCTTTAAGTCCGCAGGAGAAGAGACTTGTGGAAAACCTGACATCTGTAGTTCCATTCTACACACAGCAGAAGCCTTTTAGATTGCAAAAAAAAAAAAAAAAAAAAAAAAAAAAAAAAAAAAAAAAAAAAAAAAAANAAAGAAAGAAAGAAAAGGATAGAAAGATCTACTTACTAGGAGTTGGGCTTTTACAAAAATAAAGGATGTAGGGAAAACAGCTGCTGTCCATACAATGGGCTGAAGCCAAAAAGAGAAGGCCACAGGCAACCTGACCCACATTTTGAGACACCTGGGAGTGCTTTTCAGGAGCTTTGCTACTAAAACGGGAAAGGCCAAAGTTCTAGGGCAGGACATACAGTGGCTCCCCTTGCCTCTGGCCTTTCACTCAGACACCAAGTACCCAGAGGCAATCCCAACCCCCCAGACTCACGTGATGTCTGAGTCAGTGGGAAGACTAAGTCAGGGGAAGACTTTTGTTAACAGATAAGTATCTCCATCTCTCTCTCTCTCTATATATATATATATATTTTTTTTTTTGCTAAATTTCTATACTCTTGAAAGAAATCATAACTTCACCTACCTAAGAAAGCTCCAAAAGATACTCTGCCTATACCTGTTCCGAGAGAAAACAGGAGTAAAGAACATGAAGGACGTATTAAAGCAGACAGCAGGACAGTTTCAGGTGGTTAGCTACTGATTACAGAAACACATTAAAAAGCAACAAAAATGTCAGTATGAAATGCATTTGTGACTGGCTTTAACCCTGTTATTTTATCACCTACTGCCATGCAACTTGAAAATATAGCTGAGATGTGTGATTAACTTCCTATAACTTAACAGCAAGCACCCAGATGTGCCCCACTGGGTCTGCAGCTAAACCTCCAAGTGGGCTCCACCTCAGAACGCAGCTCCCCAGAATGCTTGCCATCCTGGGGCACGATGGGGCTCCATGCACCTGTTCATATCACTTGGACATGCTGCTACTCTCCAGGCCTGGCTCAGAGAAGCAGGTTCAGAGGGAACAGGTCCTGCCCAAGCATGTAGTTGGGGCTCTGTGGCTCCCATTTATGTGTGTTTATGATCATACAGAAAAATACAGCAAACATTTATTCTCCAAAGACAAACAGCTAAGCTACTCTAACTAGAAAGAAGCCCTTTCTTATGTGCTATAGGCAGGCTTTTTGTGTAACTTCTAAAAATTATAAGCATGAACTTTTAATATTTTTCCTGACTCTATGCTCACCACTGCATAAAGCAAAGCGGCAGAGTGGCAKTCTACACCATGCTTCTGCACTCACTCACTGCAGGTTTAATTCTGGGTGCTTTGAGGGCCCCATACTTTATGTCAAGGTGTAAACATCAGCACGCCAGCAGCAGAGGGCTCACATCCTCACCTGCAGTGCAGGGGACATTAAATAGCTCACCTGCTTGGGACATTCCCTAGGGTGCAGACCTGGAACTTTCCGCCCAGTCCAGGAAGAGTGTCAACTTGCCACCTGCAGGCAGCCGTGGTGTCATGCTCTCATGTACAGTGTGGAGGCAGTGGCTACTGTCTTACCCCCTGTCTTTGCCCCAGGAGACAGGGCCTTGACAGGCTCTGGGAAATGAGTCAAACCTGATGCTAAATGATTCTTTGCTCTCTGCCCTGATTTTAAACACCTTAAGAGGGAAGCATGCTTGGTCTTCCCAGCCACTGACCAATCTGGAGGTGGGTAACCCAGTGTCTGACCGTTGACATAGTCTCCATCATTCACAATCTCCAGCTGGACGAGGCCTAGATTTTGGGGAGGACAAATGAGCTGGTGTGATAAGGTGGCCAAGGAGGATGCTTCAACATCTTTTAAAGCCAAGATGATGGAAATCTTGACTTTACAGGTGAATGCAAGAAATTTTTTCTTTGCAGAAAAATAAATTTTGTGTTGTGAAATTGTCTAATATGGGTTTTATTGTGATCTACAATTTAAGGCAATGTTCTGAGAGGTAACAATAACAGAATGTTCAAAAACTTACCAAAATATTCATTTAGAAAGGCGAGGGAGGCCACATAGCAGCCCAGACTGAGGAACTCGGCCACAACCATCAGCCAGTGCCATGTCCTGATGGTCAGAGCCACCATGAGCAGCTCAGTCAAGACCAGTGCTGTGAAGGAGATGGCCACCACGTGCACAAACTCAGCCTCGAAGAGCACCAGGGCCCCGAACATGAGAATACCTCCTAGAAAACAGCACACAGGTCAGCTGGGGAGCACGCTGCCCACAYACCCCACGCAGATGGACAGCCTGGTCATACTCTGGACTGTGGCATCAGCCAGCTCAGCGCCAGGCAGAGGCTCACAGACATCTCAACACCTGCAGGAAGGCCGCCTCCACTGAAGGCCGCATGCCATCTATGTGCTGGGGGATAACCACACTTGCAGCACCCTCACTTACCTGGAGCACCCACAGAGTGGCTAAGGCATGTGGCTGTGTAAGCCAGCTTTCCTGAGGCCTGGTCATCATCACATATCAAAGAAAGCCATTGTGCAGGGAGGAGTGCTTGTTAAATTGGAGGAGTGCTTGTTAAATTTTTCTGGATTAACATTTGATTAAAAGTATGTCAGTTTTTTGGGGCTGGTGTTGTAGCTCAGTGGTAGAATGCTCACTTAGCATGCATGAGGCACTGGGTTCAATCCTCAGCACCACATATAAATAAACAAATAAAATAAAGACATTCTGTCCATCTACATCTAATATACATATTTAAAAAAAGGTCAGTTTTTAACTGAGATGCATCATTTAAAAAATACCGATCCACATGTCTGGAGTTATCAATTTACAAGATAAACAGAAGGCAATATTTAACTGCTGATGAAATCTTAAGCTGTTGGAATTTAACTTGGAGGTGAAAACAATACTGCTAAGAGAAGACCAATAGAAACATTTGGTCCAGTAAAACCAGGGCCTGTCTTACCTTGGTAAATGCTGATCAGAACCCAGATGAGGAAGGTCTTGAAGGATAAGGATCTCCCCTAGGAAAAATAGGGGGCAGCTTTATCAACAGAGAATGGCATGCTTTACTCTTCTGTCCCCAGGGAATCAGGGCTGGGGTTTCTCAAAGGCTCAGGCCCCCAGCCCCACTGTGCACACTGTCCCCAGGGTCTTTCAGGGAGCACTCTACTGAATGCCTGAGTCTGGGGAGCATCTGACCTGCTTTGTCCATAGGGTTGCATGATTCCTGGCCACAGCTCTGCGTCCCTGGGTCCTAGTGAGCCAGGAAGAGCCCTCTGTAGACAAACTTTTAAATGAACTAGGGGTCAAAATTATATTTGTAATAAAAATAACTCCCCTTTACTTCTTTGTTTCTTGGGAATAAATATTCTTGTATTTACTTTCTAGTGTCTTCAGACAAAAATGTACAAGATATAAGATCTCCTCAATTAGAAGAGTCCACGGCAACTGAAGTAAAAGTTGTTTGGCCCTTAAATGGAAGAGCTGCCAGTAAGTCAGGCCTCTGCTGACAAACAGAATGGCTTCCTGCCGGCCCCACACTCTGAACTGCATGCAGGTTACTGGGGGTGCATCACAAACCAGGGCCTGGCCTGGCTGTTCTACTTCACCTTCTCCTTGAGATTCTCCAATCCGAGGAGGAAAGCCAGCCAAGGACCCAGAGCCCTGGCTTTTGGTGCTAGAGATCTGACACAGGAGGCCCTGCAGCACTACAGAGAGTTGGGACAGGCCTAGAAGAGATCACCTGGCGCTGTGGCTTCTGTTCTCAGCAGTGTGGCATCTCGCTTAAGACAGGCAGAACCTTCCACAGGTGAAGAAACCCCAGAAGCCTGCTGGCTTCCTCAAGCTCCTACTGTATGTTACTGGTGCTCAGTGATGACTTATCAGAGTCCAAAGTTGTGTATTTGATTTGGGGCTTCCCTACTGAGGGGACAGTTTCTCATGACGAATGGATAGCCAGATGACAGTCATGGGGCCCTGGGGATACCAGAGGACACAGCAAGGATGCACATACCAGACAGACTCTGGACCCTGGCACTTCTCTTCCTGGTGGCTGCTGGGATATTTAGCAATAAGAATATGCCCAAGAGAAAATACGTGTGCCAAGCAGAACTCCAGCTGTAGACCCACAGAAGCCCACCAAGAGCAGGTGTGTGGACTCGAGTTCTATCACTGTAAAGGACAGTGATAGCTCCATTCAAGCACTTCCCTTGGCTACGAGTGCCCACCTGTGAAGCAGCTGACTGAGGCCGAGTCCTCCATATGTGAGTGTAAGAAGCAAGATCCAGACATATGGAATTATTAAAAGGTAAGATTTCAAAAAGCAGAAGCAAACACTGACATATTTTAAGCAGGTTCTCTTAGTACATATTTCCTAAGTGCATTTTTCTGACTGGACACTAGTCAACATTTAGTCTTCAGTCATGGGAACCATCTATAATTACACATGTAGCAAATTTTACTTGAGTAATTTAAAAGTTTAACTTTAATTTCTTTTTCTTTTCTTTCTTTTTCTTTTTTTTTTTGGTACCGGTGATTGAACTTAGAGACACTTAACCTTGGACGACATCTCCAGCCCTTATTTGTATCTTTTTTAGAGACAGGGTCTCATTCACTGAGTTTCTTAGAGCCTTGTTAAGTTGCCGAGGCTGGCTTTGAACTTGTGATCCTCCTGCCTCAGCCTCCTGCAGAGCCACTGGGATTCAGGCATATGTCATTGTGCTTGGCTTTAATTTCTTTCTTTTTTTTTTGTTGTTGATGGACCTTTTTTTTTTAATTTGCTTATTTATATGTGGTACTTGGAATCAAACACAGTGCCTCACATTTAAGAGGCAAGTGCTCTACCACTGAGCTACAACTCTAGCCCCATGGCTTCAATTTCTTGATGGTTAAAGGGGCGTATACTATTTCTCTTGTTAGCTGCAAACATCAATAGATGCTTGTTTCAAATAGTGTGTCAAATGGCACCTCTTCGGAAGCTTCTATATCCAAGCAGACTGAGCATGGATTAATGAGCAGACTCAGAGGGATGGGCAGAGATAGCCTTGACCTTGACGTGGAAGCCCACTCACAGTCTGTGTAGCTTACGAGACAAAACCTCCCTGTGTGTGTTGGAGGAACACACACGGAGGCAGCACGTTTCCCATAAACAGCTGCTCTTCCTGGAGAGGAAAGAACTGTCTGTTGCTCTGATGGATGGATTCACATGTCTGCCACACGGATTCCACAGGACCACTGTCTACGCAACAGGTGCACATGCGAGCACCTGGGATGAGGACAAAGGTCACTTGCAGTTAGCCCCAGCGAGTACCCCCTTTCTGCCATGTCCCTGGGCTCTGAATCTAATCTACATACCTCAGTTTCCTCTTCTGTGAAACAGATGACAGCATTACGGACCTCATGCTGATTAAATAAATTACGCCATGAAAGGAGATACACACAAACCCAGAAACAGTAAATTCAATAAATGCTACTGCTGTATTGCCAATTAAACATTATAGACTTAAGAAGATTTGTTTCAATTATAAATGCACCAAAAGTGCAAAAAATTAAATCAAGAATTTTAAGAAAACATTAATCCACTTTGAATAAATTAGAGTATAAAGAGTCAAGCTGTGTGTAACATGTGTGGATCACACTGACATCCATGTTGACATGTGCCCATGAGCACATGAGTAGATGAGAGCCAAGCTGTGTGTAACATGTGGATCATAGCGACATGTATGTCCACACGTGCATGCTGCATGAGTCTGTGTGGAAGACACTGCCATGCACACAGGTGATGTATTACTTGTTGGTTGAAGTTGGGACCCGTGGAGGGACGTTCCAGATGCTCAGAAACAAGTATCTTTTTTCATTACCACTTTTCTCACTACTGTGTTCTCCAGCCCTGTCTTCTCAATTTACAACAAAAAACCTGGTTGTTATATTCACATAACAATAATTTTTGATGAGTCTTGAGAAGAAAGATGAAGGAGGCAATTAAGAATGAGACAAAGGGCTGGGGCTGTGGCTCAGGGGTAGAGCACTCGCTTAACACATGAGAGACAGCGGGTCTGACCCTCAGTAAGGCACAAAATAAATAAATGAAACGGAGGTGTTGTGTCCAACTACAACTAAAAAATAAATATTTTGGGGGGAGAGAGAGAGAGAGAGAGAGAGAGAGAGAGAGAAGAGAAGAGAAGAGAAGAGAAGAGAAGAGAAGAGAAGAGAAGAGAAGAGAAGAGAGAAGAGAGAAGAGAGAAGAGAGCGCGCGTGCGCGCGCACGCAACAGAAACTCTCCAAGGGCTGCATTGACTGGACGTCACCAGCTTTCCAGAACCCTGTGTCCTGCTGCCTGGCCAGTTCCTGACTCCTCCTTGGTCTTTGATGACCTGGACACTTCTCAAACCACCAATGAGATCTGTAGAAGCCCTAAACCTGGGCCTGCCGGATGTCTCTGAAGGATGGATGAGGCAGCTGGGAAGGGACTCCACAAAGGGCTCCAGCAGGACACCAGGGCATCCACTAGCCACCAAGGAGCTCCTGGCCTGTGCTGCTGGGGCTCCACCTCTGAACTGCTGTGTGCGCCTTGGTAATCAGTGAGCACCTTGCGGAAGCCAACTTCAGCTGAGGAAAAAGCAGTTTCTCTTCAGTCTCTTTCTGAAGCTCAGTTACCCTAAGGGTGCTCGCTGACAGCGGCTCTGGGGGGCTTGATTTGCCTCCCTGTTCCTTTGCTCCTTCACATTTACCACTGGAATTCTTCAGAGGGGAAGGGGCTTCTGTCTGCGAATCAGCCTGGATCGGTTTGTTTACTGTACTCTTTGGTTGTAATGAGACTGTCATCTCTTCTGTTGCTGACTGGGTCCCACTTCAGCCACTGGGAGGCTTTGGGGTTGCTTCCTATGCCATTTTGGCATCATCCCCATCATTACTGATTTTTTGAGCAGTTCCTTACCTTCTGGTATCATGGTGCTCCTACTTGGCCTGGCTCACAGGTCTGCTACCTGTTTGTACCTATTCTATACCCAGGACACAGGGGATTTCCCTGTGAAAGTGCATGTATCACAGGAACCTACAGGCTGTGTACTGCTGTCTCTGGCCTCTCAGCAGATCCCAGGTCACTCAGGAAGCTCCTGCCCTCCCACCAACTCTATGTGATTGGGTGCTGATACATCTATCACAGCCTGGTCCCCTCTGAGGCAAGGTCCCAGGGGCTCTGGCATGCACAGGCAGGTGTGCACACCACAGTGCCAGATGCAGCAGCCCCTTCTGGTAGACCCCCTCTACCACTGATCTGCTCTGGGACCTACAGTTGTATGTCTCCCAGGTTTCAGGCACAGGAATCCAAGCAATGTGGCATCTGGCTCTTCTGCACAGTAAGAGGCATTTAAGAATGTGTGGGAAGAACCTGCTGTTCCAATGCTACCTCAGCAGGGCTGCACCTTCACTGCTTTTTACAGTCCCTGGAATGCTCATCCACTCACTGGCCTGAGGACATCTGGCTGCTTCCAGTTTTGGGCAAGTATGACAAAACTGCCATAAACATTGTGGACAGAATTTTAGTGAGCACAAGTTTTTGCTTCTATTGGTTAGATAGTTAGAATAGGATTGCTAGGTCACATACACATTATATTTAATTTTATAAGAAACTGTTTCCAGTGGCTGTCCCACTCTGCAGTCCCACCAGCAGAGTCTTCCTGCGGGGTCACGTCCCCCAGCTTCCAGACTGGCAGTGCTGTGTGTTTTGGCCATTCTAACAAGTGTGTGGTTCTATCTCACTGTCACCTAAGTTTGCAACTCCCTGAAAGAAAAATGACGTTCAGCATTTCTCATGTTTATTTTTACTTGACGTCTTTACATCATCTCTGGAATGGTGTCAGTTCACATTTTTTGCTCACTCTCAAACTGGGATATTTTCTTGTTGAATTTTAAGGATTCTTCACATACATGAACACAGTCTTCTGTCCATTGTATGACTTGAAGTGTTTCTCTCAGTCTGTGTACTGTCTTTTCATATACTTAGCTCCATCACTCACAGAGAAAAGGTCTGTTTTATCATGTTTTCCCTTTATGAGTCCTGCTTTTGACCTTATGTCTTATTTAACAATGTGCTGCCCGTCCCAAGGTCATGCGTATTTTCTCCTGCATTTTCTTCTAGAAGGCTTACCATGTGCATCTAGGCCATGGTCCACTGTAAATGACCCTGCACTTGGGATGCTCTTGTCGCATGTGGGTAGCCAGCTGTCCTGACACCATTTGTTGGTATCACTCCTCCTCTGCCTGACTTCCTGCCAAAGGCCAGTAATGCCTATGGGTGGGTTTCTGGGATCTCCTCTGTCCTACTGACCTCCATCTATCCTCTGCCAATCATGCACTCCTTGGTGGGCTGTTTGTGTATCAGCCTGGAYGCGGTTTTTACTGTACTCTTTGGTTACAATGAGACTGTCATCTCTTCTGTTGCTGACTGGGTTCCACTTCAGCCACTGGGAGGTCTTTGAGGTTGCTTTCTGTGCCATTTTGACATCACCCTCATCATTATTGATTGATTAATCATGTATGGCCCGCAGCAAGTACAGCAAGCCTTGAAAGCAGGTAGTAGTCTACCAACTCTGTGTTTCCTAAATTGTTTTGCCAAACCCAGTTCCCTGCTTTTCCATCTGAAGTGCAGAATGCACCTGTTGACAGTCAGCAACATGCAGTCTCCCCACTCATACACGTGCCACCACTGCCTACCTGTGGTGCTGCACGGCCCTAGAACACAGGGCCTGCATGTGCTCTCAGAACTGCCCTGAGTGCTCTGCCTATTTGTGTATTACTGCAAATGCTGCAGATGGTGCTTACATTTCTTCTGGCCTCATTGTTTACTGGTTGTATACAGAATTAGAAATGATGTATTAAATTTTTTTTCTTTCTTTGGGATTTTGTACTTAGTTAATTATGGCATCTACAAATATTTTTATTGTCTACTTTCTAATCTCCATGTCTTTATTTTCTGTTTCTTGCCTTATTCACCATTATTTTAAAAAATTATATAATAGCACAAATATACATTTCAAAAGATAAACGCATTTTGAGTTGGGCATGGTGGCACACACCTGTAATCCCAGTGACTCGGAAGGCTGAGGCAGTAAGATGCAAGTAAGGTGAGCCTCAGCAATTTAAGAGGCCCTAAGCAACTTAGTGAGCCCCTTCTCAAGAGATATAAAATAAAAATTAAATAAAAAGGAAGGTCTAAGAATGTAGAATGGTGTGTAGGAATGTAGCTCAGTGGCAAAGCATTCCCAGATTCAATCCCCAGCACCCTCCACCCCGTAAAAAAAATCATTCTGTGAATATTCTCTAGAAAAGAAGAAACAGTGGAGTGGTTCTAGTAGCTGGACCAGGGGAACCTCAGGCTTATGTGAAGATCAGCATGCCATTACCTACTTGATGTCTTTGCAAATGGGACAAGGTGACAGGAAGAGTGAGCTGGCTGGCTTTGCTGGGCATAGTCTCTTCTCTGGTCTTGCTCCTTGCACTTGAGACTCATCTTCCCACCCCCTTCCCGGTACCAGGGATTGAACTCAGGGGTACTTTTAGAGACAGGGTCTCACTGAGTTGCTTAGTACCTCGCCATTGCTGAGATTGATTCTGAACTTTTGATCCTCCTGCCTCCGCCTCCTGAGCAGCTGGGATTACAGGCGTGGGCCACTGCACCTGGCCTTATTGGCTTGTGCACGCGTGCGCGCGCGTGTGTGTGTGTGTGTGTGTGTGTGTGTATATTTTTTGGTATTGGCGACTGAACTCAGGGGTGCTTTACTGTTGAGTCACATCCCCAGCCCTTTTTACATTTTGAGACAGTCTCACAAAGTTGCTCAGGCTGGCCTTGAGCCTCCTGCCTCAGCTTCCTGAGTTGCTGGGATTACAGGTGTACTTAACTAGCTTCTTTGGAGGTCACAGGCATTGGGCTCTATGGAGGTGACTGCAGGGTCATGAGGTGTGAGTGCATCAGTCTCCTGTTTCACTGACTGAGCTCAGCATGAGTACAGCAGAGTGATTCAGAGCGAGTCCTGGGCCTCAGAAGAGGATGCTCAGTGCTGCTGCTGCAAATACATCCATACAGTTTTACGAATAAGAAAAGCACAAGTTGATTCCTTTACTCCCTCATCCATTTGCTGACTACCATGACCACACCTGGTAATGGACACCAAAGAGCTGTTGTAATTTAGGCCACAGAGACAGAGGAATAAGGACTGGCTGACCTCATTAGAACAGTAAGGCAGATGTGTGATACTTGCATCATTTATACTTCTAGACTGAAATGATTGGTAATCAAATACAAAAGACCCAAGATATTTTACTGAAGAGTACAGTACTTCYTCTTGGATGTGCAAGGGCTGTGCCCACCAAAAGAAATCATAGATTTCCTGTGCCTCTGGATGAGTGGTGTGGCACATGCTGGATAACTATCTGGGGATGATCATTTGCAGTCCATGCCTTACTCCACACTGCTGTCCTGTGATTTACCAGGGAACAACATTTTCTTTTCCTGCTATTATGCAGGCTTGCCAAGAGCAGGGGCTACAYTTGTGTTTTCCCAGCCTTGGTACCATGCCTGTTGCATCAGGATGCTTGCTTGGTGTCCTGCTTCAGCATGGCTAGCCTTTGGCTACCAGGGTTATTAGAGAAGGTGAAAAGAACAGCTGTACCGGTGCATTGGAAAGTGATTAGAAGAACAACCTTCAAAAACAGTTCTTTAGCTTCAGGAAGGAAAAACCTTCAATTCTACCAACTTGTGGTTGAGCACTTTTGTATTTTTGTATTCCAAGGGTTTGAAGAGGGTTTGAAGAGTACTAGATTTTTAAAGAAACAGAGACTACAAAGATAAAGAGTACAGATTTTCAGATCTTAATGGAATTTAAGAGAAAATGAGTGATGGAATTCTTGTCAAAAAAATGTAGGATCAGTGTGTAGGACACTGAAGCATTCTGAACTGCTGGCTGCCTGATGGAGACTCAGACGCTGGCTGAGATACRGCTCAATCAGACTGTGTGCAACACCCTGTTAAGTGGGGTCATCTAATGACAGCAAGCACTGACCCTGTGGCTGGAGCCCAAGGCAAGAGCGGTCTGGCAGATGCTTGGTGCCTGCCTGCAGCTCTTGTTCCTGGATAATTCAGATATCCACAGTGGATAGGACCTGAGTCTGCAGAGCCGCCAACAGCCATGTGATGCCTGGTAGTTTGTGCTTGCTGTTGTTACCTGCGGATGAGCATCCTCCTAACACGGAGGTCCTGACTCTGCTGGGTACCAACTGCCTAGGTGTACAACCAGAAACGCTGGGCTTCTGCTTGTGAGGAAGAGACGATTTCTGCCTGCTAGCTATGAATGAGCATTGAACAAACACCCCCAATCTCGGGAAAWGGGGCTGTGCATAAGCTATGGAAACAGATTCTTTGCAAAGCTCCCTGTGGTTCTGGCCCACTGGCCCCACTCTGTACCCTCACAAAGGCTTCGTCATTTCAGCATATCAACCACAAGTCCTCTAGTTGCTGAGTGTGCAGCTTGGGGATCTCCCTGCTGGTCACGACATTATCAGCATGATAATAATGCTTGACATTTACACCTAGTTTTGTGCACACAGCTAAAGTAGGTCTATCTGTCCTCATAAAAGACATAGAGGTTTTCAAGAAAGTTCACAACCCCTTTTCCATCAGATTAGTACAAAAAAATGTAATTCAGAAATTCAAAATGTAACATGACTCATCAAGCACTACTCTGGGTAGCTAGTTAGCAAGGCTACAGTCTGGTAGCTGGCCTAAAGTTAATTAGTTAATTAGTGATTAACTAGACAAGAATCTATCCTGTTAGTGGTCAACTGGACTAGTCATCCATTAATTCATGGTTGGCTGAAATAGTTAATTCCGTTAGTCATTAATAGATTAGATTTTGGTCTGTTAATGTGGTTAGCTGACTAGCATCTATAAGGATCAGCTGGGCCAGAGTCTAGTCTGCTAGTTAGAAGTCAGCTGGACCAGAATTTTGCTTCTTGAGCACTGAATTCTTTCCTCCCTATTCCACAATACTAGAGCTCTAACAACTCTGATCTGATAATTTTAGGTTATCAGCTACAAACTGAGTTTGACTGAGGGCTGGTGGGTTTTGTTCTCAGTGGTGGTTCAAGAGAAGCTTTCAATGTGGAAAATTTCAAAGCAACCAGAATTTATATGTGGAGAGCTGAGATTTTCCTCTACTGAGTCCTTAAATTTTCCATGAAATAAAAATATGCTTTCATATACAAACATGATAAACTCAAAACTGCCTTCAGGAACATTTGACTCCTAACAGAGCACACTGTCAAGGAAGTAGATCTCTGTGCCGTCAGTCAGGGAAAGCTGCCAGGTGGACTTTCTCCTCACAGCATCCCTGCACAGCAGCACACACATCTCAGGGACTTGAAAAACACAGCCAGCCACTTTTCAGRTGGAATTCTGAACCAACACTAGAGACTGGGGATTATAGAAAATGCCTGGCCAATGATGCCATCGATTTCTAGTTTTGGGAATGAATAAATAAGAAGCACCTCTTTGGGAAGGGGCATGCATGCTGACTGGGTGAAGCACAGGTAGTAAGGGTCCTTCACACMGAAATCAAGGCACAAGCTCTTCTCGGTTTTCCAGGACGCCTGCCCGTTGAGCTCACAGAAGCTCCAAAGGCTGTTAAACACATGTGTGCCATTGGAGCTCTATGGCCAACACTTGAGAGGTCCCCTCCCCTCTTTAACTCAAGAGGAAAATGTCAAAACTGCTGAGGAGAGAAGTAAGAAGTATCTGCAAGGACAACGCCTACCAACAAGACTTCAGAATGCACGTGTGTGCAGTCCGTGGGCAAAGGGCCATACCTTGGTGAGGTCCTTGTACAGCTCTGGGTAAAGAATCGCCATTTCCGGCTTTACATCTTGGTCTAACACTAAGGAGAACACTGGAAACATGGTGTAGATAGTTGCATACCTTAGAGACCAAGAACATTTAGTTAGCCTGAAAAATGTCTGCAATACAACTAAAATTAGAGGTAGATTGAAGTTTCAAAAACCCAAGACATCCCATGAAAACAAGATAAAACATCGAAGTTGGCAACACAGTAAGATTATTTCTGATCAGTAGCATGTTCTGTAAGCCATAAATGCTTACTGGGAGTGGAATCMATTTAAAGATAAACATTTCCTATTAAACATTTGCAGGCTGAGGTCAGACTTCTCTGCAGCTGTCATGTTACCATGAAGTACCTGGTATCTCACCCAGCTCCCYCAAGGGCAGTGTTCTGTAGCACTTTAGAACAGCCTTGCTGGTGGGATGCTGACGCAGACAGCGTCCCCACACAGAACCCTGCCTCCCACCTGCCTCTTCCTTCAGCCCAGAAACAACCTGTTCTCCATCTCTATCATCCCTACCTCTTTTGTGGACTACCACTTGAACAACGGAACAGACGGCAGGCAGCCTTTGGGGTTCTCCACTTGCTTGGTCCCAGGAGGTGACCCTGGGTATGGCTGCACCAGCATCCTGGTGGTAAAGGGGCCCTGGTTGCTTAGCCATTCATTTGCACACTGTAGGGCACGGTGGTTACCCTGAGTCTGGAGTTATCACAAACAATACTGCAGTCGACATTCACTGCATGAATTTTTCTTGTGAAGAGAAGCTTTCATTTATTTTGGACCAGAGCACCAACTGGGATAGCATGTGCTGGGTGATATGGTAGAGGCAGACTCGGGTTAATCTTGGTTTGCTGAGCTCTATGCTGGAATGTGGCATGTCCATGCCACACACCACCACCCGAGGCTCCATATTATAACTTCCTGTCAGATGAGGACACGGAGTCTCCTGTGACTGGGAGGCAGTATGCACTCCCAGTCTGAGATACGAGGCCCTCTTCCTTTGAATCATGCCATACTGTGGTCACATGTCCACATTCTCCTCTCTAGCACCAGCTCAGGGTGGCAGTGCTCAGGACCCTGAGGTGGGAGATTATCCTGGCTTGCCTGGACAGGCCAGTATGAACACACGGATCCACAGAGGAGGCGCAGTGTTCTGTGGAGAGAGGCAGATGCACTAGGAAGAGCAGTAGGATGCAACGTGGGCTTGGAGGGTGGGTGGGGTGGGGTGAGGTAAAGTGGGGTGAGGTGGGAGCCCTAGGCATGGCAGGCAGCACTCCCACTGGCTCTCACTGGGATGCGATCAAAGCACCTCACGTTGAACAAAAACCTAACACTTGCAAGGACCGCCATTCCTCTGTATCTTGCTCACATTACCAGGAATTCTGGGGATTCAAGGAATGACCAGACAACATAGCACTTAGGATGCTCTKATAACAGCCTGTGGTGAGTAGACACTCAGGTGTCCTCTGCTGCCCAGAAGGAAGCTGAGCACAGGGAGAGGCGCTGGTACAAGTGTGCAGGAAGCTAGCCTGGCCATACCTCCCACGAGCAAGCCACTGAGCCAAGGCCTCTCCCTCCCTCTCCTCTTGACAATGGGGTGGGATGGGGATGGATGTAAGTGGGTAGCCCTGGTCATCAAGTTCCCAGGGTCTGCTCATAGGAGGCAGCCCTTTCTGGGGTAGGCAGTGATCTCCGCAGACACAGAGAGCAGCGGAGGCATGGCCACACACTAACATCCGTGCTGATGTCATCTCTGCGCATGACCACAGTGGGTGAGGGGGTGAGATCCCAGTTTAACTGCTTTTGGAGGAAACTCCTGTCTCACAGATATGGTGGCTAAGATCACCTAGCTTTACTCCAGCTCATGTGTGCAGCATGCTTTGGTGCACTGGATCTTCAGATGTGAGGTTTCACTGCTGCTGGGGACAGACTTCTAGTGCCTGTTCTGGATTAGGTCATGTCTCACCCAAATTTCAGGAGGCAGACAGCCCAGTGCCTTCTGTTCTGTGTGTTCCTGACTGGTGACTGTCAAGTCCCCACATGAGGACCCACTTTCTTGCCAGGACAGGGACAGGCTTTGAGAGGCCTGCAGCTGGCCCAGCTGGCTCCATTCTGGGAATGACAGCCTCCACAAATGCTTACCCCTTGGTTCTGCCCCTCTCATAAGCCATGGGGTTCTTTTATAAGATTTCAGCTCCATCCTACTTCCTGACACAAATTACAGCCTCCCCATGAACACACAATCTGTGTGAAAAATGAAGCAGCAGTCGCAAGAGGCTCAAGTGTGCAGGTACTGCCTGGAGTTCCCCAAGCACAGCCTCAGCCTTCACATCAGTGGTGCTTATCCCAAACGCAGAACTGCCCAAAATATCATTCAGTATTCAACACGCATTTTTCTGTTGAGTTGGGAACCATGAGCAAGGAACTGCACTTACCCCACCATGAGAAATCCCTGGTACAGGGGGACAGACGCAAAGTAGAAGACTGAAGAGAACACGGCCTTAAAGACAGAAAACCATAAGTTAGAAACAGCCGCTGTTGGTCACCTGAACATCATTTTGCATGCAGGTTTCTCAAGAGTGAGTAACACATCTAATTAAAAATACGACATCCAATGAAGCTGTGATGCTGCCACAGTTGCTTCTAAGTGCTATCTGTCACCCTCTGCAGGCACCCTGGACACAAAAGGCCTAAGTACCTGCATCGTGGAGATAATGAGGCCCCTGTGCATGACGAACTGGCCGAGAGCTGCGGACCTCTTGTAGCTGTTCCGCCCGTGCACCATGAGCAGCCTGCCAACGTGTCTGAACTGTGTGATGGAAAAGTCCGCTGCCAGCGAGGCCTGCTTCCCCTCCTGGAGCAGAAACACACAGGCGCCTCTGCAGAACACTGTGCTGCRGAGCACGCACACTGTGAGCTGAGCTTGGGAGCTTGGCCCGGACAGATGGAAACCTGCAGCTCCTCCTGCATGGCCCTAGAAGCTCCCCACAGGGCATCCCGGGCATCGGGTGATGTGGGTGGTATCAGGTCTGTACTGGGCACCTGCCTGCCCGCCTAAAGGCGCCTGCCTGTGGGCATCAGGAGGAGGTGCTCACAAGTGCTGCAGAAGAAATGGCTTCAGCAGTCTAGCAGCCGCACAGAAGTAAGGCAAAGGGACAGTATGGACAACACCATTCAAGGCCCTTCCCCACACCTCAGCTCTGTCATGACTCCTACTCCACAAAATTTGCTGTAACACACTTCAGACAAAGCAGTCAAGGAAACAGCCAACTCAAGTTGGGTGAACTTTCCAGGTCTTTCTGGTATGTTCCTACTTAAGCCACGATAAGAGCTGTGGTCAAGGCTGGCAGGAAGACAAACCACAACCATGGTTCACATGGCCAGGAATCAGGGATGCCCATGAAGAGGAAGTGGTAGATAAACAGAGGAGAGCAGTTGTGGTACTGAAGAGACCAACCAAGGTGTGCTGGGGACACTCCAGCCAAGCCCTATGCACAAGTATCTTAGAGGATAAGTCCCAGCAGGCCACAAGAACTGGGGGATGCTGAGGGCTTGCCAACCCACTTTGGTTTACAAGCATCTCAGACAGGCATCCAGTTATGGAGTAAATAACAGAAGGGCGTGACTCTGACCTACCTATCTCTTACTCAAGTACACAGCTCAGGGCTTGGACAAATGAGGACCTTAAATACATGTGGACCCAGGAGGCACTGATTCTGTGCAGACCCAATGCATGCTAAACGCAGGTGTGGGCTGTACATGTGCTGAGGATGTGATAAAAATACATAAAACAAAAAGACAGACGTACCTTTCCCTCAATCCCAATGCCACAATCTGCTGCCTGAATCATGCTCACATCATTTCCTCCGTCACCTGAGAAGCACAAGAAATTGGGATATTAAATAAATAAAGCACCTATCCATCATCATGTTTTCTGTGTTACCAGCTGGGATTGTTTAAGGAATTTTCAGTAACATAGATATAATCAATCTAGTTCCAGAGATGAAACATGATTTTGCCTGCGACGTCAAGAAGCCAGTTGCTCTTAAAATTTCACTGCTGAGGAGGGAGGTGGCGTTCCCACCCACCGACAGCCCTTCTGGCTATGTCCCCTACCCCCGCCAGGTGGAAGCCCAGGGTGGCTCACCGATGGCACAGGTGCGCCTCCCAGTGTGCTGCCGCAGCAGTGTCACAATGTGGGCCTTCTGGGTTGGAGAGCAGCGGCAGCACACCACGGCGGGGCACTGGCAGGCTAGCTCCACAAGCTCGTGCTCATAGTACTTCAGACACACCTGCAAGACAGAGCGCCACTCTCACTGTGCCACTGCACTGTTCTGCAGCTGAGCAAAGGGACAGAGCAAAACAGGGGGCTGGAAAACCAGTGGTCTTTCTCCAATGTGCAWGCACTTGCATTTTTTTGGTCTCACCTGTGACCATGCCTGCCCTGTGGGAGCTGGGGGATGTGGGAGCCAATGGGCCCACAGCCCTGTAAGAAGAGGAGGGGTGAGGTGGGGGAGACTAGTGCATCAAGGCCATGGTGGGAAAGATCACAGAGGGTGGACAACGAGGGCCACCAGGAAGGGCAAAGCACGCTGAGGGTTGTCAGACCCAGAGCTGGTGGCCATGAGGCAAAAAGTGTCTCCAGGCTGATGTGACTGGGGCCAGTGTTTGGGCCATTCTGGGGAAACCTGCTTAAGATGATTCCAGCCCCTCCTTCCCAGCACTGTGGGGATGAAGACACCTGACTGACCTCTGATATCAAGTGCTCACTACCCTTGCCAAGGAACAGGGGAGTCCACCAGCTCCCAATGCATTCCCTTGGTCAAGAAGACCAGAGTCCCGATGCACTGCCTGGAGGGCACTGAGCCTACTCATTCTCTCAGGAGCTTTGAAATGCTGCCCTAGCACGAAGGACAGGTATCAGACTCCAGGTCCTCCGACCACAGGAACAAAAGCCCTGAGAAGAGAGTGCTTCTTTCTCCCCAGCCACTGGCTGCACACCAGAGCACACTGCTACCTGTCTGAACAGGGACTGTGGCCACTGGTATCTCTTGCCATCTTCTCTTCTGTTCTTGGGGACAAAGAAGCCCAAAGCCACATTTGCAGATGCACCCTGTGACTGCAAGGTGCTCATTCTTGCACAACTTGACTGTTTTCGTTTCCTTTGCTTTGATGTTCTCATTTGCATAATTTTAAAAAGTATTTATTTCTTTTAGTTGTACACAATGCCTTTATTTTTATTTATTTTTATGTGGTGCTGAGAATCGCAGCTAGGGCCTTGCATGTACCAGGTGAGCGCTCTACTGCTGAGCCACAACCCCAGCCCCTCATTTGCATAATTTTTATTCTCACCTAATATGTGTATTTTTGGTCAGTTATCTGAACCCTCTTCAGAACTCCCAAATTTCAGAATATAAGAAAATAAGTGCCACCTATCCACCAATGAACTCAACCAAAATCACCATTTAACTGCATAGGGAACATGGAGAGGAAAGAGAATGAAGCTGAGATAATGAATAGCAGGCACTAGATAGATGCAATAAAAAACTTAAACGAGCCAAACTATAGCTCTACAAACACTGTTATTTGGAGACATGGCAACAAATACCAAAATATGGGGCCTCAAGGGGTCTTTGGCATATGTTAGGAACTGGAGGAGGATGGGAAGTGGGGGGCCATGGTAGGACAGACAGTCTGGTCATTCACACCACATGCCTGCAAAACTCGAACACACACAGTAAGTACAAATGACACCAACCAACATGGTAGAGATAGGAAAGTGCCCTGTGCCCTTTCCTGCCGGGAAGAGGGCCCGGCACCTACGGGGCCATCAGAGAGGGCTTTGTAGAGAGACAGACTGTGACAGCCAAGGGACAGAGTGACCAGGTAACAGAGGAAGCACAGTGGCCATGGCTCCAGCTAGCATAGAGAGGTGCAGGGTGACGCCACTGGACTAATAAGCACTTCAGACTCTGGCTCACTAACTCTTCAGCTGGCTGTGGAGTCTTCCCCTGGACTCAGAGATAGGAACATAAAATCAGGATGCAACTGTGGATAGCACAGGACCACTTCCCTGGCCTGAGGAGGCATGTCTACTCAGGGGCCAGATGCAACCTCTGCAATTTGAGCAAAGAGAGCAACTGAAGCGGTGCTCTTGGTGGCCAGAGGTCAGTAAGAAGCCTTGTGGTCTCAGGGCCAACCTCTGGGCACGTTGTTCTGGGAAAGCAGCACATGCAATCTGAGGTCATCAGCGCCCCATGCAGAAGTAGTATGGAGAGAGGCGCCCATCCATGCAGCCGCCCCTGCCCAGGACAAGACCCAGACGCTGAGTGACACTACCACCTCAGGAATGGCCCACAGCCAAACAAGGCCAGGGCCTGGGTCCAGTCAAGCCAACTCCACCTGTGTGGCTACCTGCAGTCCTTACCAGGACCTGTGGACTCCTAGTACCCTGGAGTCAAGAGGAGGACAGATGGGACTAGAGAGTGCTTCCCCTGACTGGGAGCTCTCCGGTGACCCACACATGCCTGGATCACTGGCTTAGATAAGACAGGAACCACACCAAGGCTGCAAGGAGGTGGAGCTGTTACCAAGGGGCAGAGATCCGGGTCAGCTGAAAACACCAGCCTTAAACAGTGGGTACAGGCCAGGAGACATGCTCAGCCCTGACTGTACAGTTGCATGTGCCTATGGGTAATAGGAAAGCATAAGACAGCAGAGAGGCAGGGCCACCTGACAGCACATCCCTCAAGAAGCCCTGGATAACTATAAGGGACAGACAGACAGATACATACTATATTATTGTCCAAACTTGCCTCAGGAGACAGGAAGACATACGCTGTATTAGGACCCAGCCTCGCCTCATGAGACAGACAGATAGACACACGCTGTATTGGGGCCTGGTCTTACCTCCAGGGAGTCCCCTGATATGACCAGTGCACAATCGTGCTTCCTTCTAAATGCATTCAGCTCCAAATGGGCCTCTCCTCGACTGGTCACCTCCATAGAGGAGAAAAGATTAGTACACGTTAAAAGTCTTCAAAATTAGAGCAACAGACCAATAGGATGTGCTTCAAGAAATCGCGGTAGTGTCCTTTGGACAGTGTCGAGAACCTCGATTACTAAACAAGGTCCCTTCAAATTTCTACTGCACTCTCCATTGACTGTTAACAGACCATTTTGCGATTTGCTGCAAATAAAAGCAGAGAAAGYACTGTACCCAAGAAACACACCTGAGCGGTACCTGGAGCTGGCTTCCCTTCTGCTCAGGTCAGGCTGGTTCTGAGAGTAAATTCACCTGAGACACATTCTAGTGCCTAAGTGAGGTGAGGATTTAGCAAGGAGAGAGGCAGAGTGGGGTGCAGGTGAGATGGTATTTAGCACCAGGAACGCAGCCAGTTTTTTTTAAATAAAATAAGTCACATTTATTATCAAAAGTTGCATGAAAGCCCACAGCGTTTACAAAAATGATTTTTTATATAAAAAAATATTTTTGACTATATSGTAATATTTGTGGGGACACCACACTGTTGCTGTTTGGAGCCCTGGCTGGAGGAGACAGGGTCCTTGGCCACATGCCAGGGAGAGGCCCAACTGTCTGAGATCCTGGTGTTAAAGATGTCTCTTTTCACAATGTGGAGTAAGTGTGGGAGGCTCTTGTAAAATCCCCTGTGGTCTCTGCCCTGGTTTTCCATCTATCCCATTTTGTTTGATGTCTGAAGGATTAAGCAATCTCACCGAGTAAAATTAATTCATAATCTTGGAATATCATTAATTTTTGAGTGAAAAGATGTCAGAAACCAAGGTATGCATTTTCAACATTCTTTCTGTGGAGATTTTATAGGGAATAAAATAAATGTTATAGGAGTGAAATATATTAAGCTTCCCATGATCCAAATTAATCTCAAACTCATCTGTAAATAGGTAGGTTATTGTGAAAAATTTAATTTGTGGTGCTATAACACTGAAAAGTCAACAAAAATTGATCGAAAGTTTTATCAGAAGCATTAATAATTTAATTGCAAATAGTAGTCTGCAGGGCCTAATTTGTGATTCTATGCTTCAAAACAAAATACATTTACATGTAAATGACTCTCAAACAGCCATTTCTGTAGGTGTCAGAGCTGCATTCAGACAGCTACAGACCACAGTGTCTGTTCACTCACCATCAATCAAGGCTGAAGAACTTTTATTTTTGTGTGAATTAAATTTAGTCATTACTAATATATACAGTAAACACATAAATTTAGATAACTTCTATTAATTTTCTTTGAGTCAATTAAGGAAGAACATTTAATGTGAAAATGGCAATATTTTAAAAACATATTCCTACTTTGTGTTTAGAATTTGTTTCACAAGAGCTACCTCTGAGCCACATGTAATATGAGTAACTAAATAAAAAATGTATTGTAAAATAAATATTTATTTTTATGTATTAGAGGTATGTCTATTTAAAAATAGCAATAAATAATACTAAGAATACAACAGAAAAATGCTTTTGAATTTAGAGCTTGGTCACTATCAAAAAGCCATCTTCTTTATTACATTTAATGTAACTAAAAAAATATTTTATCTTGTTTTTTATAGGTTGAGTAAGAAAAAAATGACAGCATTTCTTTTTAAAAACATATTTAGTAATTGTGGCTGGGGCTGTAGCTCAGTGGTAAAATGCCTGCCTCCCATTTTGAGGCACTGAGTTCATCCTCAGCACCACATAAAAATAAATAAAGATACTGTGTGTTCATCTACAACTAAAAAAGTATTAAAAAAAAGATATTTAGTAATTAATAACTRCATATACATTTTTACAAAAATAACAGATTTTAAGTGTGAGATAAAACATTTAAAATTTCAAAGTGATTCAGAAACATACTTACAGGTCTAAAAATATGAATGTCTTGTGTTCTAGACACCAAATGTGAACTTTTGGCAATGCAAGTAGCCGTCTCCAGTTTATCACCTGTTAGCATCCATATCTATGAAACAATTTAAACYGGTGAACTTCAACAATGCAACGATACTTTACGTCTTAAAAGCGTCTGTCCTGAACAGTTGCTCGTACACCCCTCCCGCCCCATTCATAGCATTACCGCAAAGCCCAAAGGTGAAGCAACCCGAGTTCACCAACAGATGAATGCATAACCAGGATGTGGTCTACCATTCCATGACATATCATTCAGCCTTAACGAGGAGGAAGTTCTGATTCATGGAGCAACACAGTGGAATGTGAGGACACTATGGCAAGGGAAATAACCCAGGTACAAAAGGACAAACACTGTATGATTCCACTTATATGAGGTCCCCGGATAAATCCAATCTATAGACAGAAAACAGAATGGTATGGTTAGGGGCTGGGGAGCTGGGGTTTAATGGGGACACTTTAAGAAGAGGAAAGTCCTGGAGATGGATGATGGTGATGGCTACAAAGTGCTGTGAGGTTCTTCATGCACTGAAAAGTGGTGCCAAGTTTTGCTGTGTCTACCCTGACTTGCTTAGGCAGAACAAGTAAGAGCAAAGTGATGTGCAGACAGCCATGAGATGTGGAGGCATGTTGACTAGCAACTCGGTTGTRTCATTCACACATGGCTGAGTCAAAGTGGATATCTATAGATGCCCAAAGGTAACTTTATATAGCCTTCCAACCAAACCAACAGGGTGGACGAGGTTGCACACAGCACTAGCAAGATCATAAAGAATTTTATTTCAACTTATTGTTGAAGCCCAAATAGGCAGAGGGCCCATAGCTAAGCCAGAAGTAATTTACATCAAATAAAACACATCAAACAATGYTACTTTTCCATTTAAAAAACTGCATATACATACACATATTATGTACATATATCTGCAGATAAAAAATAAAATATATCAGGGCATTTAATATATGTCAAAGTATTTTATATATTTTATATAACATCAAAAAACTTCCTGTAATATTCTCATCATTGGAATTTCTCAGATTTCTTATGTAACATACCAAAAGACATTTTTGGAAACAGGAAACAAAAAACATGAAATATTAATTATTTGTTTAAGAGTGATCCAACTGTGGCTCTTCTCCTTGCCTGAAGACTTGTGCTTTCTACTCATTTACATGTCTTCATGCACTTTAGTGGAACAAAGATAAGGAGCCAAGTGAACGAACCACGGCTGCTTAGCAATCTGTCACCAGGAACTGAGTGTGAGATGCGCCTTCCCCCTTCAGAGGCTGATCTGGAGTCAGGCTGGACACGTTGTACAGAGAAAAAGGGTCTGGTGCTTTAGATGGAAAATCTCCCACAGGTTATCATGGAGTACCAATGCCCAAACCTTCGTATCATGAACGTTCACTACCATAACACATGGACAATCTGGCACGCGTGACTGAGAAATAGACTGAAGGCATTTAAAACCAACATGTGTCTAACTGATCACACCCTTTGCCAGTGTCCTGGCTGCACCAAGTCACTGGACTTGGGTGATTTTAAATACCCAGTCTCAACTGCTCTCCCTAACTGAACTCCCTGTCTGCACAATGCTCTGCCCACCATGCAGCCTCAGGGCCTGCTTCCCACTGCCACCAGATTTCCTTGGCCTTCCCACAGAAGTTTCCCAGAATCTATGGGTTGGGCAGGGAGGTGGGCCAGGCACTGCTTTGCCTCCCACCCTTCCATTCAGTTCACCTTTCCCGTCTAGCTAGAGTTTTTCTAGCTAGTTGGTACTTTTTCCATCCTCAAAAGTAGGTTCCAAATCCTTTGGACAGTATTAAAATAAATGTTCTCAACCAGCCTGTCACTGAACTCTCAACTTCAATGAAAATGTGAGGTAAGAAAGCAGTTTCCTAAAAAACAAAACTTACACCAGAAAGTGCTAGTTCCCTCGGGCATTGAGGACCTCAACAGTCAGAGGAAAAAATGGCAGGTCAGCAGCCGGGGAAAAGGGCAGTTGGCCACATGACTCCCAAGGAAAATGCACCACAAACCTCAACTCAAACTCTACAAACCAATTATGAGAGAAATGTCAGCTGCCAACCTGCAGCTGTAGAGTAGCGAGGAGCTGGGGGTTATGTTGGCCAGGGCACCCTCCCAAGGCCTGAGTCAGCAGCAGACCCAGAGAAGAACCCAGGATGTCCAACAAGGAGCCAGAGGGAGGAGATATTCCTGCCTTTGCTTTGTATGCGCATACCATCTCTGCAAGAAACCTGTTGCTGAGCTCAGTAGCTCAGCAGCTGAGCAGGACTGCGAGGAGTGTGCTTTCTGACTCCATGACAGCGTGGACGCAGACAGACAGCATAGGCTCCTGGACATCCTCTGTAATGATGGATGTCCTAGCCAGAAGCTCTGGGACACACTGGATTCTGCATGTGCACAGCTTGCATGTAAGAACCAACGTACGTCCCTGTGAGRCTGGGGTTCTGCCCTTCTCCTCTCCTCACCCAACATGTGCTGCCTATGGCAGAAGCTGCTTGGGCAACTTGGATTTGGCAAGACTGCGATTATTTCAGGAAGAGTGCTTACACTCAGTCCTGTGACACAGGATTCTGACCAGCAGGGTGATGGCAAGTGAGGAAACTTGATTTGAAGAGCCTGTGGCTAAACCACAGACTGTAGACATTGGGCAGGGGCTGTGGGTCCTCACGACTGTCTTCAGAAGCACACATGTTATGTGGAYGGACAGAACCAAGGAAGCAAAGTCTGAAGTCAGGACAGTGCAGATATTTCTGGATGTCTGGCTGTGAGGCTGAGGAAGGATGGGGGATAGGTGTAGCTTTGCTTCCCACATTCTTCCACCCACCACCCCAGGAGTGCCACAGAACAATACTCCAAAGGAAAAGAGAGTTTGCTTAACAGAGGAATCCCAGGAGCCAGGGCAGCAGGCACCACCTTGATTCCAGCGTTGCGCAGCATCTCCAGCGTGGGCCGCACGTCAGCCTGCAGCTGGTCCTCTACACCGGTGAGGCACAGCAGCTCCAACTCTCTCTCCAGGCTCTCTACCACTGCGGCCACCTTCAGTACTCGGTCATGGATGCTCAGCTTGGCTTGACTGTATCGGCTCTGGGACACAGGGGACATGTGTATGGTCCACATGCCTGGTCTACAATTATTTACTAAATAAATCCACAATACAGGCTGAGCATCCCTCATCCAGAAATCTGCAATTTACAATGTTCTGAAGTTGGATATATAATGAGCACAGATAACAGATCTTGAAGCATTTTGCAATTTTTGGTTACAGACACTAAACCAGGTCATGCCTATGCAAGTAACTTCAAAGCCTGAACCACTTCTGTTCCCCTGAGCACTGGGAGACAGAAGGTACAAACCTTGTTGCTGTGCACATGCCCCTGCYCTAACTCCAGACTGAGGGGAGGTGGGATGGAGGCTCCCACTGGCGAGGCTGCCTTATGCCAGGCACTGGGGACACTGGTTTCCTGAGTGCTCATGCACAATGTCAGGATGCACCTGAGTACAGACAGAGGCCTGCAGGGCAGGAGAGTTCATGAAGGGCAGGTGATGAGCCACTCACCTCAAAGTCCTGGTACTGCTCTTCCGTCAATGCCTTCTTTGCCACCACAAGTGTTCGCAGCCCTTCCCGAGCCATGTTTCCACACTGGAAAGGAGAAGCCCAGTCACTTGTGGTCCCCAGGTGGCCTCAGGCACCATGGAGTCCACTCTCATGCATACTGTGGTCGTCTTCATCTCATGCAGGACCAGCATGTGCCGGCCTGGGTGCTGTGAGGACTAAGAGGTCACAGTGCAGCATGTGTTCTCTGTGCTCTGTGGGTATACTCATGGTTCCCACCACACTCCAGCGGGACTGCTCCCACGGGGGACAGGGGAGAGGCTGCTGCACTGGGTCTGAGCTACTCCACACTGGCTGTGCAACACCTTCGAGTCCCTTTCTGCCACAGGACGCTCCTCCTTAAAGGCCCCCAAACTTTCATGAAATAAGTAAAACCAGGAAAGTGCAGCAGTGGTGTGGGGAGTGTGGGGCCAGGGGAGGCCCCTGGGGAGTGCCAGATCTAAGATGCATGGATCTGAAGGCTGTTTCTGCTCTGTGTTGTAGGGCAAGCTGACTGGTTGGCTGCCCGAGCCTCGTGGGTGGAAGTGGGTCTCAGGTAGCTGTGCTGGGCTAAGCACAGCATGTGTGGTCTGTGCTGTAGTCTTCCGCCCTGCTGGCATGGCTCTTGGTCCCCCTTCCTGGCCCTGCAGCTCAGGTGTTCACACAGGGGCACTGCCATCAGACTGATGGGCAGTGGGGTACTAGTTAAGAGCTGAGGCTGGTGGGGACATGGGCCATGCCCATGTCCACTGGTGAGATGGCATTGTGCTAGGCACTGGGGACACTGGTTTCCTGGTCTCAGTGGGCAGGGAAGAGGAAGCTCTGGAGGAGCCATGACCCAATCTGTATTTAAAACAGAACTAGAGATACATTCTGTAGGTGTATCAAAAGATGTTAGCACCATTCACAGTGAAAGATTTCATTAAAATAATAAAATACTACTTTCCCCATCAGAAGCAGAAACCCAACAGTTTCGAGTGAAGAAACAAGCTCTTTGGTACACAACTGGTACAGGGGTGGGGCACACCTGTTTGAAGGTGTTGGCAACTTCTCACAAAGTTTGAATTGCAGTTTCCAATGACACCATTCCCACTGTAGGGAATGTGACACACACTTGCGATCATATACCAGGCCATATCCACATGAGGCTAGTCCTGACCATGTTGAACAGGTGGACAGGGGTCAGACTTTAAAGAACCTGAAATGGCACACATGGGGTTCCATACCCCAGACATCAACATGGCCCTGAAGAGCAAGGCAGAGCTGCAGAGCTTCTCCCTCGTGCACCAAGCAGAAACAGCAAATATCCCTCTGCAGCAGGTGGTAGTGGTGTGAAAGAACAGAGGCTGCTAGGAGGTGTGAGACGTAAGTTCCAGTGTGGGGGATCACAGTCCTGCATGGTCCAGAACTGCCTAACCCAATCTCCTATGGGCACAAGGTGCTGACAGCTGAAAGGAGGGTGCAGGGTCACAGAGGCAGATGAGTGTGGCAGAGAAACAGACCTCCTGCTCCATAGCTAGGAGCAGGCACGGTCCTGCCCAAGATGCCTGCACTACGAGGACACTGACAGCAAGCAGGCATCTATGAACAGGTGGAACAGAAGGTGGCTGGCTCTGCAACAGAGAGAGTGCGACCATCTGGAATCACTTCCTCAGGGAGAAGGCTCTGGAGCAGAGCCCAGGTGACTAAGGAGCGCACATTTCCTGCTGTGTGAAGTAGGACTGGGTGCAGGGATGGTCTGGGGCCTCCTCACCAGGGGACACGTAGAGGGCTGCACTCCATTGTATGTTTTTGGCACCTTTGTCAAGGATCAAATGACTGTAGACGTGTGGGTTTCTATTCTGTACTACTGGTTTGTGTGTCTGTTTTTATGTCAGTACCATGTAGACTTTGTTACTATAGCTCTCTGCAGTGTAATTTGAATTCAAGTATTTATGATGCCTCCAGCACTGCTTTTTCAGTGTAAAAGTGCTTTGGCTATTCAAGGTCTTTCATTCTTCTGAATGAATTCTAGGCTCCACCCCCCCGCCCCCGTTCTGTTAAGAATGTCACTGGTATTTTTGATGGGGGTTGCACTAAACCTGTATATTCTTTTTGGTGGCATGGCCATCTTAACAATATTAATTCTGCCTATCCATGAACATGGGAGGCCTTTCCATCCTGTGTCTTCTCTCTTCAGAATTCTATAGTATCCATTGTTGAGTTCTTTTTACCTCCTGGGTTAGATTTATACCTAGGAACTTCTTTCTCTTTTTTTTTTAAAGGCAATTTTTTTTTTAGTTTATTTATTTACTTATTTTAGTTGTAGATGGACACAATCCCTTTGTTTATTTATTTTTATGTGGTGCTGGGGATTGAACCCAGTGCCTCCSACTCRCCAGGCAAGCGCTCTACCACTGAGCCACAACCCCAGCCCTTAAATGCAACTTTGAGTACAATTATTTTACTGACTTTTTGGCAGATTTGTTAACTATTGATTTTCATATGTTGATTTTGTAATCTGCTACACTGTCAACTTTATTAGCTATAGCAATCTTTTGTGGAGTTTTTTTGGGATCTTCTAGGTATAGAAAAATATAATCTGCAAACAGTGATAATTTGACTTCTTCCTTTCCTGTTTTTATCCCCATTATTTCCTCATCTTGCCACACTGACCTGGTTAGAATTTTTAGCACTACGTTAAATAGACTATTCCAGATTTTAAAGGAAATGCTTTCAGTTTTTCCCCATTTTCTATAAAGTTGGCTTTGGTTTTTTTTTTATGTACCCTTTATGATGTTGAGGTATATTCCTTCTATTCCTAGTTTCTTTGGTGTTTTTTTGTTTGTTTTTACATCATGATTGGTTGCTGAATTATGTCAAAGGTCTTGTTGCATCTATTGAGACGACCAAGTGATTCCATCCTTGATTCTATTTATGTGATAAATTACATTTATTGACTTGTAAATATTCAAACATCCTTGTACCTCTGGAATAAAACCAATTTGGTCATGATGTACAATCTTCTTGCTATTTTGTTAAACACAATTTGCTAATATTTTATCAAGTATTTTTGTTATCTAAGTTCACCTGGGATACTGGTCTGTAATTTTCTTTCCTTGAAATGTCTCTATCTGGTTTTGGTATGAGAGTGATATCGGCTTCATAGAATGAATGGAAGTGTTCTATCCCTTTCTATTTCATGAAATAATTTGAGAGTACTGGCATTAGTTCTTTAAAGGTTTGGTAGAATGCAGCCGAGAATCCAACTGTCCTGGGCTTTTCTTTGTTGGAAGGTTACTATTTCTTTTTATTACTGATTTTATCTCATTACAAGTTATTGGTTTAGGGTTTCTATGTCCTCTTGATTCAGTTTTGGCAGATCACATTTGTCTAGATATGCATCMATTTCTTCTAGGTCTTTCAATTTATTGGAGTACAAGGTTTCAAAATAGTCCCTAATGTTCTGCTGAATTCCTAAGATGCCTGCGGTGATTTCTTCTTTTTCATCTCTAATTTTATTAAATTGTTTTTTTCTCCCTTTTTCTTTTGGTTAGTTTGACTAAGGGCTTATGAATCTTGTTTATCTTTTCAAAGAAACAACTCCTTGCTTCATCACTCCTTTGTATCTTTTTTTTTTAAATTCTCAAATTCATTGATTTCAGCTATGAACTTAATTATTTCCTTTCTTCTACTGGTTTTGGAATTGGTTTGTTCTTCTTTTTCAAGGGCCCTGAGACACATTTTTAGGTTATTTGGGATCTTTCTGATTTTCATAGCTATAAACTTTTCTCTTAAAATTGCTTTTATAGTGTCCCAGAGGATCTGAAATGTTGTATCAGTATTCCCATTTAAGCCTAAGAATTTTTATTTTTTTTTTAATTTTTTTTTAAAAAATATTTTTTAGTTGTCAACGGATCTTTTATTTTATTTATTTATTTATACATGGTGCTGAGGATCAAACTCAGGGCCTCACACATGCCAGGCAAGCGCTCTACCACTGAGCCATTACTGTAGCCCCAAGTCTAAGAATTTTTAAATTTCTCCTATCATCTTTTCATCATCCAATAGAGTGCTGTTCAATCTCCATGTGTTTATATAGTTTCTATAGGGTTTGGTTCTGTTGATTTCTAATTTCATTCCATTATGATATGATAAGATGCAAGGGATTATATCAATTTTTTTTTACTCAGCAAATGAATTAAAAAAATTACAGTGAGTTGGGTGGGCTATAGAATGCTATAGCTGAATGGTGAGAAAAGGAGAGCAATCATGCCCCCCACGAAGGTTGTCACAAGCCCTGTGATGACTCACATGTTCAGGAAGTATCTTGCATCTCTACAGCAGTAACAGACCTACAGTGATAGGCAGTCAGGCAGTGAAGACGACTGACTTAGGGATTTGGGCCTTTAGAACTAGGTATGGGCAGGGATCCTGAACTTCCTGGGGTGTAYTGATTAATAGTTCAGACCCAACTCTGCACACCACAGACCCCAAGCCACAGGCAGGCACTTGTCACCCCTACCATCTCTTAGGAAGCTRTATGTGGGATGTCTACCTCCAATAAAGCCAGGTATAGCATCTGATGAAGAGATGTTTGTCTATAGGCAAATAAAAATTATTAAAATATCCAGATTTTCTGAAAATACCTTTTTAATTCATCCAGCTTATTGGATCTGATGCCCACTATTCAATCTGTAGGCTGCAGTGGCAGGCAGGGCTGGGGAAGAAGCCTGGGGTCCAATACTACCCACTCAGACACTCATGAGCTGTGTCCTTCCCAGTGTCCAGTTCAGCGACTTCCAGGGTTGGGCTATGTAGACGAGGGAAGGGACTGTTGCTGTACCACAGAGGAGGGCTGAGCTTGTTCTCCTGGGATACCACATCAGGATCTAATTCAGGTCTGTGTTTAGAGGGAAGAGGCCCATCATTGCCACACCTCCCTTCATCCAGAAGATTATTTTTTTTCTATGTGTTAATATGTGTGAATACTCCGATATTTCAATTTTGAAGAATGGTGCTTTCTGTAATATGATCAATGTAGAGTGTTTTCCTTGCACAACTGGAGAACACAAGTTTGCAGCCAAGAAGCCAACTCCAGGTTCTGCTTGCAACAAAAAGCATAGCACAAACCCAGGCCCCTGGAGTGATTGCTTTGCTTTGTTTCTTAATACACTGAAAGGATTCTGATTACAACAGTTTACAGCAAAGACACCACAAAGGGTCAAAAGATTTATCTATGAAACAAAGCACAATACTGAGAAAATAAATGTACATAGGATTTTTAATAAAGTTATCTTTGTGAAAAACAATCTGACATTATCTGTCTGTTGCAAGACATTTATTGATTTGACCTCATAAAGCTAAATAAATTAAACAAGTATTTTACAATTAATTGCACATCATTATGACCAAAAGTAATTTTTATGGCATTTTACTAGGTCTTCAGGGAGTTTAATTTATTCATGTCCCTGATTAAATCAAAGTGCCCTGAAGGAGATATTGATTCATATTGCCAATATCATGCGAACACTGGGTGTGGCCACTGCACTGACAGGAGAGCTCTGAGCAGCAGAACAACATGTAAACAGGGAAAAGTGCTGTATTTGCCGTTACAACTGGTCTGGCTTTACTCAGAAACCCAGCTATCAATTAAAATGTAAACTTAACACATTGTAGACTCTCATTCAATTTAATATAGGCTTACTGGTGTTTGTACATTATTTTCTACTTTTAAGTGAACTGACTAGCATAATACTAAAATTCGAATTAAAATCTCCTTGCATATTAACTAGATGTCATATTAAAGCCTAACCTTGTTTAAACACACAGTGCTATTTCACAACTCTCTAGTGAATGACTGATGATGTTTTCTATACTTTCAGTATTACACATAACATTATTCTCTATAAGGGGCTCCTTGTGCACATCCACATGATTTCACAAACAAAAAAGCAATAGTTAATTGTATAGAAAGCCTCATAATTAACGAGGGCCTTATCCTTTTTGCTTAACCAGTATGAGAACCATGACTACTGAGAACAATTTGGTGGGAAATGACAACACCCCTGGTAACCTTCCAGGACCTGGTCTGACATCTCTGTACCTTGACCAGTGTCTCCCAAGCTGTGGGGAGGAGACAATTTTTCGGTCATCTGATGTTTCCTAAGTTCCACAAACATGTGTGGCTGCACAGTGCCAAGCGTGGCCCACTTACCTCCTCTTCCAGCCAGTCATTGTACTGGACGATGGAGGACATAGCAACGTCAGCACCCTTCATGTAGAATGTGATTTCTGCTGTGGACTCATCCTGTATGGAGTGAAAATACACTGTTGGGCTATCTAGCTCCTTGCAAATAACTGCTGGTCTAATAGAAAATGCACCGAAAAAAAAACAACTCTTAAGAATGCCTTCCCTGTGGGAAGCTGCTTGCTTTCCAAGTGACAGGCGCCTTTACATGCAATGCAGTAAGAATCGGGAAAATCACTGCACACTTGAGATGCTGGGAGGAAATTTTTGAAATAAATTCTGTTAATGAATAAATGACTTGAGCTATACTGTAAGCATCAAAGTCTGATCAAATGCTTTCTTGTTTAACAAACTTCCAAATATTTTTAATTGTTATTTGCTAAGAAAAGCTGAACACAGGTACGTATAGAAACTTTATGGTTAAAAATCATTATTAAGTTAAATTTTTTGTTACGTTACTTTTGTTAAACACAAAACAACTAGCTGATTTTGAAAATTAGTAACATCTTTTACTTATTCTCCCTTAGCAGTGTTAGGAACTGATGTTTCACATCACCAGGTATTTTATGTCATTATGGCCACTCTGGTGTCTCACTCATAAATTATTAGTTTAGATTTTGTTTTATTTTTTATAAAAAACCATAACAAGCACAAAGCGAATACGTACTTAACTTTAACCTTTTTTGTGGAGAGGGAGGATTTTGTATCTGCTTTAAAAGATTAAAAAAGGAACCGCTCAAGCTGTCCACACCAAGCACACTGAAGTGTCTCTGGGCCCAGCACAAGCGGCAGCATACCCTGACGATGATGCCCATCCGCTTGCTCTCCGAGGTGAAGGGGAACACCTGCAGGATGCAGTAGGTCAGGACCTGGCCGCCAGGCGTCTTCAGCTGCATGGAGGTGAGGTCCCTGCTGACCAGAGTGAGCCCGACACTTTCTGTCCACCGCACCAGTGCGACCTGAAGAGACCACAGTGTGAGGTCTGACTGCCTTGGGGACGCTGTGCCCAGAGGACATGGTACCTTGCATGAAAAGTGTCCCCAGAAACATGAAGGCAGAGAAACTGCAGAGTCTAGAACTTTTCATTTCTGTGCCATATTACATACAGGTGAGCAATAAGCAACGTGGCAGAAAGTCCCTTGGCCTGCTGTGTAACATGGTCCATTATGCACCATAAAGGCTTCCTTTTGTACTCTGTGTCGATGAGCTCCCTACAACTAGTCATGTTTAAACCCTAGAAGGAAGCAAGTAATCTGAATTTTGTTTATCCCTATTTTTTTCCAACATGAGAGAGAAACTGGTGTCTGACCAACTACATGAAAGTGTCTACGTGGAATATCTTCCGACCTGAAGGGAACGAAAAGCCGGAGCCTGCAGATCAGGCCTGTAGAGGGCAGCCTGGGCTCTGAGTCTGACCAGGCTAGCCAGTAGCTCCGCATAATCTCTTCACCTCACCAGTTCAATTCCAGCTCTGCCAGGTGGAAATATGCTTCTGCAAGCTGTCCTAAGGCTGAAGAAATGTAAGCTGAGTCTTTGGTGTGTGTAGGTACTGAACAATAGGAGCTGCTCTTACTTATTCTTACTTAGAGTTACTTTAATAACTTATTAAAATTAAAAACTCATAAGAAGATATTTTCTAAAGTTAATAATGTATGTTAAGTATTTTATGACAATCAAGCACTTTCTGGAAAAGAATATCTTTCTGAGGAGCCTTATCACGGGACAGCAGGTCAGTTAATGGCACACCAAGCTTGGCAGTAGCCGAGAGAATGTTACCCAACAGGAACACCCTCTGCGATGAACATGCTGCCAGGGTTGGAGACTGTCACAGCATGCCCACAAGACCAGCTCTGTGCTCTGCAGCTTCCCAAGGTTGGGCACCCTTCACCTTTGCTCTGAAGGCACAGCCTTGTCACTGGCCAGCAATGTCACAGCTCCCAGGGCGTGACTGGGCAGGTCCCTCGGGGCTCAAGTCTCTCAGAGGCAGGGTGAGCTCACCCCTGCTTTCAAGTCTCACTGCCACCTATGCTGTTAGGATCTCATTTTGGATTTTGAGACGTAAATCATCTCAGGGACATTTAAAATTCTGGCTGTGTTCAGAATGTTATCAATTGAATCTTAATATCTGGTGAGGCTGTGGAAAAATTCTTAGCAGCTCTGGTTCCGAGGCTGACTGCTCAGGTTAGGATTCTGGAGCAGGCAATGCCTGCATCCCTATAATCTTGGTGCCTTGAGTGTACGGTGGCCAGGTTCAGGAGGACAAGAGACCAACACCAGCAGAATGGTCAGTGGATGTTCAGAGCACCGAGCTGTGTACTCAATCCTTGCACACATGTCCCACTTGATATGTTCTCTTGGACAGATCAGGAAATCATTTTTAAAATCAGGTTTCCTAATAACTTGCCACAAACCCAACTGCAGGATACTTCCAGTAAGATTTACCAGAGATGGGATGCTTTCAGTGCTGGGAATGTGTGCGGCATAGGGCAGGGAGAGTGAGGGACAGTGGGCAAAAGCAATCGAGCACTTCCCAGGACTGCTGAYGGCTTGGGGCAGAGTGTAGGAGCATAGCCGAAGACTAGGGTGCCAAACGCCTGTCCCCGGCAGTGGGAGGAAGCTCCTCTGCTCTCCCTGGGCTATCCACCGCTTCACTGGGCCAACACTCACTTCCTGAACACTGCTTAGGGTCTCGTAAGGGAACAAACTGGATAAGGTTACCATAGGGTTGGTATCCTATTGTTGTAGGATAATAAAGATACATAAAAATGAATGCATTTTAAAATTACTAGTTATAAATTGAATGTAGTTGCTGGAGCAGAGATAAAACTACCTCTTATAATATTCTGATATTTTAAAAAAAAGTTTACATAGTGGAGTTAGCCTATGGTAAATGGAATAGAATAATTCTAGAAATTCATGATGGAGAGTGAAATTATAACAGTCTAATATTTTTATTTCAGTTACAAAGTCAAAAATACATTTCTCTAAAAAAGGCAAGGGATGGGGAATCAAACAGCCTTTCTCCATCTGAGTTCTTCAGAAAACAGAACATGATTTGGGGTACCAGTTGCTGTTCCCAAGTAGAATACTAGTCCTGCCCTAGATACAAGGAGGGCGTTAACCCACTGCACACCACCCACGCCTGCATCACCAGGGCCGCCTGCCTCCTGGAACCACAGGGCTTGGGGGTGTGGCTCCAAGGCCTCATCTGCTGCACTCCTCTCTGGTCCATGCCAAAACCTGAGTTGCTGAGCACAACTCAAGGACCTGCTTTCTGCAACAGCAATGGCCATGCAGTGTCTGAATTCTTTCTCGGCCTGAACTGTTTAGAAAAATATTATGTTTAAAGCAATAAAAATCATCACTTAGCTGATATTAGAAAGCCAAGTAAGGAGATTTAGCTGCACAGAATATTATTATTTTGTTAAGAGCAACACAATGAAATTAAGTAATCAGCTTTTTTATTTAAAAGAGGAGCATTATGTCTCTTTAATAACCTGCATGTAAGGCCAGGACACCTGGGTGCACCGGCTGTAGCCCCAGTAACTGGCCTGAGAGTTAAACTCTGGGAAAGAATATAACCTTGACCTGATCTGCTTACTATCCATGTCCTTACGCAGGTGGTGGCTCTTGGATGTGGAGAGGGTACTCAACAGGCTGGAATGTGAAGCCCAAGGAGGCAGGACAGGACATGAAGCCCGGACCCAGCCTCCTGGTGTATTCTGGGCAAGTTGAGTCACACTGAAGTGCTGCCTACTGACAGTAGGCTGCTCTGAGAGGACTGGAACTTCACCTTATCAGCTCCAAGCTCCCCGCTCTCCATATGTAACAGATACTTCTCCCTTTTGTGGAAAATAAGTGAAATCAGCAAATTTTGTCCATTTTGATGATCTCAGTAAGATCTCTGTGTACTCTTCCCAGAAGAGAAATCATACAAGCAGTAACAGATGGCATGCTTAATGCTTCTCAAATGCTGTGGAAAACCACAAGTTCTCAAGTCCTGCGAGCCGGTGGTGAAGGGCTTACCCTCTATGCAGGCAGTGACAAAGCCCGCAGGTCACGGTAGCCAGGAGGCCATCATCTCCCGGGGGCAGGGATGCAAGGGCTAGAAACTCCTACTTGCAGGACTTGGCTGGGCTGCAGGAATGTGTGCCCTTGAGAATATCAGATGGCTTCCTGTACCCTAGGTTTTGGGTACAGGAAGTGTGCCATACAGCAGCAGCAACATGTGCCTATCCTCGCTGCACTGGTGTCCCCTGGGGCTAAGGCTGTGCTAAATGCCACTGGCCCATCACCAGTGCCGAGAAGATAGGAACTGGAATCAGAACTCTACTCTGAGCCTCCAGGGTGTTACTAAGAGACTCAAGTGTACCAAGAGGCTAAAATCATCTGTGATGATCCAGTACTGTAATTGAGCACATCAGCAACACATTCCAAATTACAGTTTTGAAAAAAACCACAAGGATGACAACAGAACCGACTCTGCCAGGAGGGAGGAGAGCACACCTGAAATGAGATGGAAATGCTACACGTTTTTCCGGTACAACTTCTTCAGAAACTGCAAATGACCCAATACTCCCAAGGTTAATTTTCAATTTGCACAGTGAAAGGTTCCCATTATGCTGTGACCTATAAATTGTACCTTTCCACAGACACCCTATCATCTCTGGGTGCCCCACTGAAGTCAGACCCAGGCATTCTATATTTGGCGACTACATCTGTTTATTGTTTAGTTTACGCTTGGTTTCACACCCCTTTGAGTTAGCAGCTTATAAGAAAAATCCTACACCTAGCGCARTGTTCCATCCAAATGTCTTTAATCAGCAATCATCTTGAGGATTAACTCTATATAATGCCAACCAGAAAAAAAAGTATTCAAGTTTTTCACAAGAGAGATGCATTAATTACTATCCTAATTTAACTGGCTTGGTGTTGGGCAGAAAAGTAAATGGCAGCATGTAAAAAAGTGGATGTGTAACCAATGTGAATCTGCAATATGTATACCGGGTAAAAATGGGAGTTCATAATCTGCTTGAATCAAATGTATGAAATATGATGTCAAGAGCTTTGTAATGTTTTGAACAACTAATAATAATAAAAAAATACTTCTGGATTAAGCATATAAAGAAGTAACCTCAGAGGAGGACCAGGGATACCTTCAAAGCTGCTGCTATGAATTCATGCCCGCCTTCAGCATCACACAGGCCTGGCTTCCTTGTGGAAGTCAGGCAGGCTTAGATGCCACATCCTAGGCCAGCTCTAGCAGGTCTGCTGCGCTGGGACTGGCATAGAGTTAATGGGGAGTTGAGGAGTGAGAGGCCTTCTAGAATTCTATGTATGTGAATATATCAGTGGTGTCTTTCTTAGAAGACTCTGAGAAATAAACTACATCCAGTGATGTTAAATACAGAAACAAAAGCAAAGAAAATGTCAATGGCACAGACAGTTTGATTCTATTTTGAGAATTTAAGTGATTAAAATTCACACACTTTTGGGACTGGAGATGTGGCTTAGTGGTACAGCCCTCGCCCAGCGTACATGAGGCCCCTGGCCTCAATCACTAGCATTGTGATAAATAAATAATTGATAATAAACTACACGTACATTTCTAAAGCAACGTGTCCAGGGCTGCTCCATCCAGCAATTTCCCCTTCAGCCCACCTGTTTCCCACCTTTGGGCTATCCCACCGAGCTTTTCCTGAGCCTAGTCAGGAAGAAGAGCTAAGGGGAAGAGAGCAGGAGAACACAGCAAGCCTAGGACATGTAAAGAAGACAGAAGAGAAGGCCTCGCTTCTTGGTACACCAGGACACCAGCTATGGCCCCTTCTCCCTCTTGGGGAGAAGGTAACATGTTACCCCCTTTTAAATGAATCCTGCTTTATGTGCTTGCCTTGGCGTGTTCCTCTAAGGCTACACCTTCAACATGCCAGGGAGCAGGACTGGTCACCAGTAACCAATG